AAAAAAAAAAAAAAAAAGGCAGTATTGCCTGAAGATGAATCACTAGCAGAAAGTGCTCAGAGTGACTTTCAAAGCATCGTTTACTGCTTCCCTAAGTGTCTTTCTTTAATCTTGCAGGTAGCCGTCCGGAACATACCGCAGATCGGCTCCATCAGCCAGGTTGTGGTGCAGCTTCCTCATGTGTTCCGGAGGCTGGAAGTTGAGAGCTTAACTTCAGTAATAGATAGAAGGTACTGTGCTTTGTGGGCTCTTCTGCTGTGCCTCAGTGACTGCAAATGTAGATGTGCTCAGCTAGCAGAGCGTGCTGCTGCTGCAGGGTACAGGGCCAAAGTGCATTCACAACAGAAGTGTGCCCTCGATAGCCTTTGGGTGTGAATTAGGCCCTGCTGGAGAGTACTGACTTCATGCCAAAGGCACTGGAGAATAAAGCCCACAGAAAGCTCTAGGTGTCCCTGCGTGAGCAGGGAGGGTGGACTAGATCATCTCTAGGCGTCCCTTCCAACCTCTCCCAGTCTGTGATTCTGTGAAGGAAATACCAGGCTGCCATATCTTCATAGTACCAATGTAACCTTTGCTTTTCATCTTGTACAAGTGTAGAAACCGTAAGAAGTAAAAGCAGCAAAATCTAGTACGGGAATTCTCAGTGATCTTGTGTGTCTGATATTTCTCTGTGAGACCCTATCGGTATATGGAAGGTGAGTGTTCATTCTGGCTAAGACATTTTTGTGTTCTCTTCTCAGGTTCCAGTTCTTCATTGACAAAGTTTTGCCTGAGTACCGTGACGCCATCATGTCGCACACACTCATCTATGTTCCATCATATTTTGACTATGTGCGTCTTCGAAATTACTTCAAGAAAGAGGAGCTGAATTTTGTCCACATTTGTGAATACACTAAAAAAGGTGGCATCTGCAGAGCCAGGCGTTTCTTCCTCAAAGGAGAAAAGCAGTTCTTACTGCTCACTGAGCGCTTCCACTTTTACAAAAGGTGAACTGTGGGCTGGCTTTTCCTTTGACATGCGTGTGTTTTGGAGGTAGAGCCTGACATTAGGCATAGATCACATAGATATTGCTATATTGCTTTCTGGAACAGCTAACTGTCTGGAGACTTTAACCAAACTAAGAGCTTTTCAGATAATGTGGGATTTTTTAACATTGCCTGCAGTCTCTTGCAGAACTTCTAATGTTTTGATATGAATAGGGCTTTACTCAGGAATTTTAGCGCTGCCAAGTTCCACTGGTGTCAGGAGAGCTGCAAACTGGGATTCACTGTGCCTTTAATTAGTGTTTGCACCAGAATATTACATAATGTCTCAAAAACAGCATGGAGTTAGTTCCATAATGTGATGTGGACAGCCAGCACAACTTGGAAAGTTTGCTACAGCCTGACTGGAGCTGTTATGGAAATTTCTAATAGAACTCTTTTTCCTGTTAGTAGATATTTTCTTTTGTCAAATATGAACTGTTCTAGAAGCCTCAACCTGACCAGGCTTTGCTGTCTTATAGTTCAAGCCAAAGAACCTGAGTTCTGTAGAAACTCATGGTACTCTGTACTTCAGAGAGTCACAATGCCTGGCAGCCTTAGGGCTCTTAATACTCCATCTGTGACGAACTAGTCTTCTGTGCACAATGCAGAGTTTGTCAAGCAGAGCTAATGACACTAATGTGCACTGAAAATGATGGAAATCAGGAGAACTGAGATAGGATTGACTGTTCTAACTTACACGTTTTGTGGAAATTTGCAGGCCAATGTGATTTGTTTCTTTCCTACTGCAGGTACACAATAAAAGGCATTAAGAACCTCATTTTCTACGAGTTACCAACCTATCCCCACTTCTACAGTGAGATTTGTAATATGATGAAGGCTACAGACAGTGGAGTGGATGCCACTTGGACCTGTACTGTCCTCTATTCCAAGTATGATGCTCAGAAATTGGCTGCTGTTGTTGGCATAGATCGCACAGCTCAAATGCTACAGTCCAAAAAAAATGTGCACCTCTTCATTACAGGAGAAAATGAATAAACAACTTTGCAATCTAGAGCCTGGGTGGACCTGGATTTTGCTGCCTTGCATCTGGATAAGATACTTTTTGATGCTGCTTTTTAACAAAGTGTTCATTTTCTATTTCTTTTACTAATTATCTTGTTGAAATGCTTCTTTATAGTATTAAAATTTATTCTAGTCCAACATGAAAAGGGAAGATACTATTCAAAAAAGCAGTAGATGGCCAGTTTCTTCTGTGTGTAAACAAAATCAATTCAAAATTCCTCTCCACTGACTTTTGTGTTTAAACTCACTGTTCGGTGAAGATTGGTGGTGTTAAGATGCCTTTTGATTTGATTCTTCCTCTTTTCAGGTATAGTAAACTTGCCTCCTTTCATCAAAGGCACTTTTCCCTTTTAATCCGGGGAAGAATTTACCCCTTGCACAATAAGCAGTGCCTCAGTAAGGGAGGTGCAGGTGAAGCCTCAGCAGCCCCCACATCCTGATGAATGATGTCGAGCCATTTGCCTCGGCTCGACCGATGAACGTGCTCGGGTGGCAACTGGTTTGGCATTTTTCCTGAGCAACCTAAATACATCTGCCTGCTATTTAAAATACTTATTGCAGTCCCACTAATGGGTCGGTTTCAGTAGAGATACATATGTGGTATTTATATATTTTATACACATATATACATACAACATGCACATATATATAACACAAAATACATATTTGTTCAGAGGGGTTGGAAAATGATTTAAGTGTGACAAGTGGAAGGGCAGATACTAACCTCACCTCAGCATTATCAAAGCAGTGCTGTGGAACTGTGATGTAGTTGCAAATACCTGTCACTTCCCCAAACTCTTGTGTGTGTTTATTTTATTCTTTTAATATGTATATATGCTGCCCTTAATCTTTGCTTGTGTAAAGTATAGAAGTGTCATTGTGCTGTCTCTTCTTTCTTTTTATATCCTCTTAAGAGCTGAGTGTCGTTTAAAAGGAGCCAGGAGTCATTTCTGTAAGCACGTGCTGGAACTGTTGGCAGACGGTCCTGCAGAGGAGGCTCTTAAGGCCCATGTGAGCCCGAATGCAGGAGGGAAGAATCCACACTGGGATCAACTGTGAGGAGATTCTCATCTAGGAGGGGCTGGAGGAAAACATGTCAAAGGGGAATAAACCCCTCAAGTAAATGCACAAGCACCTAAGCCATTTTTTAGAATCCTAACTAATTCCTATATTTTTGAGGGAGTGTGAGCTTGTATCATAATTGCAGACCTCAAACGGCTTAGTGGCTGTGCAAATTCACGTAGTTCCCTGCTTTCTGCCTTAAGTAGTGATGGTGTGTGTTAGTTTTAAGGCCCTCTGCTATACATGCAAGAATTTAAGCCAGCCAGGGTACAGTTCTCTTTTGAACCTCTGACACAGAGCAGAGACAGCAGCCGAGGATTTTCTTGTATCAAGCAAAGGCTTGGTGGGGGAGAGCTGTGGTGTGCGTATAAAAGCAGACACACAAAATAGGATTAAGGATTTGGCTTCCCACACCGGATGTACTTAGCACAGATGAATAGTGGCTGACCTCTGGAAAAGCTGAAGTGGAGCTGCTGAGGGAGATAACAGGGTGCAGCACAGCCACTGACTGAGGAGGCAGCAAGAGGGTTGTGCCTGAGTCTGGACTGTAAGTTTTTGGCCCTCTTGATAGCGGGACTGTGCCATGAGCTGGATATAGGATTTGGTCTTGTTGAAAACTCCCTTGCTGCCATTACAAATCAGATAAAGGCCCTTAGCTTGAGTCTTGAGTCAAAAATAAAGCAAAAATCTTGTCATCTTCACAAAGAAGAGTTGGTGAAGCGGGAGAGGCCCGAGGGGAAATACGGGATGGTGGTTGCTCTTCAGCAGCCCTGAACTGTGCGAGTGGGGCCGCTGCCACTGCTACCCCAACACCCCGGTGCTGCCCCAAGACCCACAACAGGGAGGCCTTGGCCACGAGGAGGATGACTCCGGGCAGCACCAGCCATGAAGAAGGCCCTCAACAGGGAGGCCTTGGCCAGGAGCAGGAGGAGGACTCCTTCAAGGTTTGTTCAAGTTGCTCACTGGAGCCACCAGCTCCCACAAGGATGCACATCTATCGGGTGCGAGCAGCTGCTGTGAACCAGCTCTCCGAAAGGGAGGTATTAAAATGATCACAGCATGCGTGGTAGTCGAGAAATAAATATTTAGTTACGTAAGAGATTCAGAAGCCTTCAATAAAGGACATGATGAGAGATCAAGGTAAGACACAGGGAAACAACGCCCGGGCCAAAAATAAGTAACCTTGGAGCAGCTGACAGCATGATGATGTCACTGCAACCAAAGCAGGAGTTTGGGGTTAGCCTTTCAGCTAAAGCAGCACAACCGCGCTGCCGTCGGGCCCTCTCCGTGTGACGTTACCGTTCCTGGGTCAAACCCTCGCCCCTGGTAATGGCGTGTCACATCTAGAGAGGTGTTGCTGAATTCGTCAAGCTGGATTATTACCAGTGTGTTGTAACGTCTATTAGTCTATTATTAGTCTCTCTTTTATGCTCTGTAAAAGGAGAATTGGGTAGCAGGGGCCCTAATTGAAAAACTGTTGCCAGTACCTTATTATTACTGGGTATTAGGCAGTAATCTCTGTGTTACCTCCTTGTCTTGGGTGTCAGGCTTAAAGATTTGCTTGCCATTTAATTAATAGGTTAGAAAAGAATGAATATTTAGCTCCAACCGTGCATTTTTTTTTAATAAAGCAGGAAAAGCTGAATCAGTTTGGTATCAAGTCATGAGCCCAGGCTTAAAATGGATAATTAGGAACCAGTTAATAAATTTCATCTGTAATTTTACAAGGCTTTTGAGAAGTTCTTTCTTCAAAGGCTTCTAAAGAACCAAAGCACCAGGTGAGGCTGGAAGTATCACAGCTGATCATTGCAGCAAAGGGTTAGGAGTAGGTTGTTTTAGTGTTAACTCCTCTTCTGACTATCTCTGCGTCCTAAATTGTAATTTAAATTTCCTTCTGCGTATTCTAGTTGTGGACACTCCAGAGCCTGTTTCCTTCAGATTGCCTTGTGGGCTAGTTCTCATCTCCATCATTGATGTTGTGAGTGGAGACTGGTAGAAGGCAGCTGGAAAAGGAAGAAGCCCAAAAGGAATAAATTGGTACCTGAATTATTTCCCCATATGAGCTGACAGCTTTCCTTTCACTCATTTCCCTTCACAGCTTTCCTGTTTGCTGCAATGCCAAGGAAGGAGGCATCGCTCCTGGCTGGTCCTTGTGCTGCAGGAGCAGTCGGAGCGCCCGCAGGCTGGGGAAGATGCTGTGTGTGTGTGTGTGGGTGTGTGGTGGGATCTGCTCTTGGGAAATGGGAATGAGCTAGGTGGGAGCTACGCGGTGTTGTCCATCATTGCTGGCAAGAAGAACATATCGTAGCACATCAAGAGCTTGTTTCCAAAGAGGTATGTCCCAATGAGGGAGCTCCAATCTGAGTACCAAAACATGCTGCACAAACTGCTTCTAGTGGGAAAATATTCTAGGAAAGTCACTATTCTAGTTGCTGAAAGAGGTCTGCGGTTAACAGCAGCACTGCAAGTGCTGGGGAACGTGGTGTTTCTGGCGGTGGAGAAGCAGTTGTTGGCATAGGCAGAAAGGGAGCAAAGCTCCTTGACCTAAGCTGCAAGGTACAAGTTGCCAATGTCAGTTTTCCCACTGTGAAAAAGCTGTGGTTTTTGTTTTGTTTTGTTTTGTTTTCTGTTCTCTCTTTTAAGAGATGCAGAATATGTAGTATGTAGAGAATGGAATGAAGTACTTTTTTTTTTTTTTTTTTTTCTTTTTCCAAAACTTTGCAGCTTTGCATGAGGCCAAGTGAGCAATTCCCTTCCCAGTCGGATGCAGCTGGACATGCTTTCCTCCTGCTGACATCTCAGGAGAGCACGATGGAGACGCGCTGGCCTCTGGAAAACTGTAGGATCGGGATGTGACATCAAACGAGCTGCCAAAGGAGGGTGCCCAGAGACGCCCCCGAGCTGGGCTGGAGCTGAACGTGCCCCGTGTCAGGCAGGCGCTGCCGACATGCGCTCTGTGCCGGGATGCGCCCAGCTGCTGGGGCTGCTCCTGCTTTCCCTTTCCCCCTTGTCTTCTCGCTGGTCCCCCCTGCGGGAGAGGGGATCAAGCAGAGTTTTGCAACGTGCAAAGAAATGTGGTGCACATGGTTTACCCCACGTGGCAGATGCACGGTGGTGGTGTTCGCTGTACGGTGGCAGAGAGGAAAGAGAAGCAGGACTTGCTCGAATATTTTGCAACAGGAATCTCGGCAGCCTGTTCTTGCAGACGAAGGTTAGTGTTTTCACAGTCTAATATTTTACTGAAGTAGTTAAAATATATCCAATAGGTTAGAGAGAAGCAGCAGGGAACAAGTGAAGATGAAAGCTGTCTCCTCCAACCTCCGGCCTTACGTGGTAAGTTGCCAACTCTTGTCTCTTTAGTTGAAAGAAGCGTTATAATTGAGAACAAATGTACTCGGTGGGCAGGATGCCAACACCTTCGTTTCCCAAGTGACAGGAAAGTGTCAGGACTTCCAACAAAATATGGAGCGTCTAGTAAATCATGTTATTAGGCAAGGTTTAGAGCACTCGGAGCTAAAGGAGAGCTCTTAACCTGGACTCATATCCTATGTGAATGCTGCAGCTTTTCACACACACACATGTACCAGTAAACTGAATGTATAAAAAGTCTCCTAGTGTGTGGAAACAGTTGGATCCTTGCAAACTCTCTGGCTGTGTCAGAGTGTGTTCTGTTTTTTGGTTCCTGCAGAACAAGTCCAAGAGGCAGCAGCCAAGCCCTCCTGCAGCACGGCCCCTGCTTGCGGCTCTCTGCATGCAGAGACTTGTTGGAGGAGATGGGCTGTGGAGCAGCCTCAAACAAGGGTGTCCCTGGGGTGGCCTTTGCTGCAGGAAGGTGCTGAGCAAGGGGGCAGGTTGCAGATGAGCTGCCAAGTGCATCCGATCCGTCTGAGATGTGTCTGCCCTCCTCGTGGGCAGGGACAAGAAGGGCCACGATCACGTCTTGTTGCTCCCAGCCCGCGGTTTGGCAGCAGGTTCATCACGGCCTGTGTTCTCGTGCTAGGAAGCCCTGGTTCAGCAAGGGGTGCTGTGCTTAGGAGACAGGTTTAATGGCTAAAAAGCTGAAGCTCAAGTCAGCAATTTGGGATCTCTCGTTGCCAGCAGAGTGCTCTGCTCAGCGGTTCCTTGCAACGGGCTCCCTCTGCTCCCACTCCTCCCATAGGCAGTGGAGCTCCCGGCTGCTCCTCCCAGTGCCGCGCAGCGAGGACGTGCAGCGTGTTCAGCTCCTCGCTCACACTGCGAGGCAATTAATGCAATTTGTGCTGTTTGGCTGGGCGAACAGTTTGAAATGAACCATTGAGCCATCTGTTCCCCCAGCTGACACGAGGCACGGCAGGAGCAGCAGCCAGCTTCTGCTGGGCAAGAAAAGAAGCATCTCGCTGTCATTAAGGAGAGTTCAAGGAAGATGGGCCTTTTTTTTTTTTTTTTTTTTTTTTATTATTTCTATCTTTAGAACAAATTCTTTCATATTTGCTTTTGGCTCAGGTTACATGCCCTGGAGAGTTTTCCAGCCTCTTGTAGCAGCCTGGGAGAAGTGAGAAGTGAAACGGAA